AAATTCTATTTCGGTGCTGACTGCAGAAGGTATAGGGTGACAATAGGTGTACTAAAAATAGAAAGAAAAAACTATCAAATTTCCCCCCATCTATCAGTACTAATGTTATGCTCAAGTTTGGGACCCCCAAAAGACCACCAGAGACCGGAGATCAATGTAAGCAGCAAAGAGGCCTTTATTTCGAGCTAGCTCAGTCCTCCACGCACACAGCAACTAGTGAYGCTGAGAGGCCCCGAGCCCAGGGTTTGCAGCAGTTTTATACACTCTTTGGGGAAGGCAGGGACTTCACATACATCATAGCATCTCTTAGCAAATCATCATACACTGTGGGAAAATAATAAAACAACTCTAAAACATAATTAGCACATTCATTGGCGGGAACAAGTTGGGTAGGGATGATTGGTTAGTACAAGAGGGGAATTCCTTTGAACTGATTGGTTTAAGCCACTAGAGGAGTACATGCTGAACTATATGGTTTCCCAACATGTTAACAACAACCATAAAACTACTGGGAAGGTCATCTGGCATCCGAGGTATTTTCCCTGTTTCATGCTGATAGGTGGTTGCTAGGGGGTTGCTATGGGTCCTCACCTAGCCTAACTGAGTCAGGGACACCTGGCACTGAAGATCTCTCCTGTTATTTGTAGATAAACAACTCAGCAGAGTGAGTATGTGCCTTGGAGTGCTCTGTGGGTTTTTCCAAGGAAAAGAGTCACGCCCCACTTCCTTGGACAGACTGTTCTGAAGTAGAGGCTGGTTTCTCACTAACTGTAAAAGCTTATTAATTTGGACTCTATACCTTAGGGATTTATTAAGATTTTCAGATCTGCTGAGGTTTAACATTTGCACAAACAATGAGAAATAGATTGTTCCCCAAATTAATTCTGTAAATAAGATTGCAGGGGGAATATTGGGCTACCTAAAGCCACCTCTGTTTTCCAACCCTGAAAAACTATTTTGGCAAAYAACGTCTAATGTGTCTAATGCAAATACTTTGTTATAGTTTGTTTGATTAGTATCTATTATAACAATAAAGATAAAGCCTCATTTTGATAAGAGGTCCTTACCTCTTTTTTAAAAATAATTTTTATTGTTGGTTGTTCAAAACATTACATAGTTCTTGATATATCATATTTCACATTTTGATTCAAGTGGGTTATGAACTCCCATTTTTACCCCGTAGGTCCTTACCTCTTTGTAGCATTATCTTATTAGCACATTAGCCATGGGCCTCCCTTGAATTGTGTTTTTTTTTTTTTTTTACTTATAGCTTATGATAGTGAACTGGTTTTGCAACACGTGGACATATAGTGTATGTTTTAGAATTAAGATGTCCTATAGGAAAGCTACTTGAAGTCTTAGATACTTAAGTGTCTCATAGGTCAAATGACCGGATGCCTTGGTCCTAGGTCAATAGTTCTCATTGAAGGTTCAAAATCAACTCAGAGTCTTTCCAAAATAACAGTAGACTATCCTTTCCTAATCTGTCTGAAAATTTTGATATTTTTAGGTTAAAAACAAATTTTGATACTTTTAGKTTAAAAACTAATGCCCTATGTGACCCTACCAGCTCTCAAAATTATGTGGTGAAATATAGTATAATTCATACTTTTCTAGAATTTGATGCTTTTAAAATATTTTACAGTGCCTATGATTTGAAATCTACCACAATGGAAACAGCAGGGGATACTGAGATGAAAGTATATGATCTTTTGTCCTGATGGTATTTATAATCTAGTAATTCCATTGATTTCTATTCAGTTTCAAGTCAGTGAGATTTTTACTTTGTTCATATGTAGGCTTGGGATGATATTTTAAATGCTATGAACTTTTAGGAAATAAATCCTCTTGCTCTAAAAGAAGCCAAGGGTCTACAATAAAGCAGGGCTTTATTTTTTTATCAGAGTCATCAGGGACAGCTTTTGAAAATACAGGAAAAATGCAGATTCCTAAGCCCACATCAACCTTACTGAAATAGATTCTTTGGGGACTGGGCCAGGAATTTGAATGTTAAACAAATGCTCATGTATTTAGGAACACAAGGAACTTGAAGCTTGAGCAACATTGACAAGACAAATAAGAAATAAAACATTGGTCTGAAAAAATGAGATAAAACAAAGTCAGCTGACATAAACCTAGCTAATTTGCAATTTCAGTTACATATAGATACATTTCAGGTTAAATGTGGAGAAATAATAGACATTCTACTTATTTCATCTCCTCTGGGAGAAGTTACAGTGCTGGAAGGCACATTTTCATCTATGGAAGCCTTCATAGATAGGTTTTTGGAGAACTAAGTCCGATTGAGCTACTTTGTAGCTTGTATTTCATGCTCTGCAAAGCTCCTTTTTGCAGTTTAGCAAGTGTTTCTTCATTGACAAGTGTCCTGTTGCTAAATGATCCACATAGCAATTCAGAGCAAGACATTCTGGTTTTTATGCTGAGGAACCCGCTGAAATGCACACATATGCATGTAGTCTCATGCATACGCATACACTCAGACTTCTTGGGGTTCCAGTTGATATTTGTTTTCTATCACCACCTTTCTTTTAACCCACCTTCAAATTCCATCCATTCACTATCAAATTAACATTCTTATCTTGATTTATCTGGCAAGAACAAGTTTTCATGCCAGTATGTGGGCTGACCTTTCTGACCTTTGTTCAGAAAAAATACCAAGTGCTTTGAGCTTTTGTGTTAATGAGCATTGGGAAGCTGTCAGCTTTTATTTCTGTTTTTGTTCAAGTCAACATCATTGACCTTCACCTAATGATCTAAGCTTACACAGTTGTGCCAGAGATTAAAAGTGGAAATACAGAGAAAGAGGAAAGGTAGGGGGAACAATTTGAAATTTATCAAAATTGAAATAAATAGGGTCCAAAAAAAAAAAAAAGACAAGGAAAATTACTGTGTCCTAGCTTATGCTGCTATTGGATAAATAGGATTGAATATTCTCTTTCAGTGAATTTTCCTTTTTTTTTTCTTATTTATTTTTTTTGTAGTTGTAGATGGACAGAATACCTTTGTTTGTTTATTTTTATGTGGTGCTAAGGATGGAACCCAGGGCCTCACACATGCTAGGCAAGTGCTCTGCCACTGAGCTCCAGCCCCAGCCCTTTTTTGAAAGGTAATTGATAACATGACTAATGAAATCCAGACTTCTGATTGCCTTTTCCACAGAGGATAAAATAAGAATGAAATAGACAGAAAATAGATGGGCCCAGCCCTTTCCTGGTGCATGTGTTTTTTACCACTTCTGTATCATCCAGACCGACCAGCTGACCTGGTTTGCCTATGCATCTCTTCACAAGTTTTTAAGCACTGAAATTTCCCATGTCCCAGGAAATCCCTAAGTCCTGGACAGACCAGGATGATTGTTTACTCTGGATTCATCCATGATCAACCTGATTAGAAAGATGTTTTCTAATKCGATATTCACTTCTCTATGATGGTCTATTCTTTGATGCAAATCTATAGCTTTGTCTGTCTGGATTGATCGTATATAATATGTATACATTACATATATAAACATATAAACTTGAAAGGTAATGGAAGCAGAGATCTAAAATGTAATAGTACCAATTTGAATTCCTGTTTAAATGACTCAGAATTTGCTAGGATTGCTAGCTTTTTTTTTTTTTTAATCCAGGACTTCCTTTTTTAGATGAAGTTACATGAGGCTCAGAGAAGATGGCTGACTTGTTGCCTGAGTCCACCTGGTGGACTAGGGTCAGATCTAGAACCTGAATCCAGGTCCTCTGAATTTTTCTTCAGTGCCAAATGTGCTTAAAATTGCCCTAACCTCTTGAAGGAGTTAATTTGCTTTGAAAAAAATGCATAGCCCTGTCCCGAGAGAAGCTGATTCCCTTGGCTTTTGCTCCATTAATTGCTCCCTAGTATACCCTTACAAGAGATTATGAATTAATTTAAGGAGCAGTGGCAGGGACTCCTTCCCCACATGAGGCTACCTCCTCTGGTAATCAAAAACGGTGTATCATCTTGTAAGAGGAAGAGGTTAATAAATGTATATAATTTGGCTGAAGAGGTGCTGTGATCCTGTTATTTCTATTAATATTTTCAATTAATATTTTATCTTGAAATAATAAGCAGAAAATAGCATTTGCTGATTGCCTTCTGTTTAGAAGATGAGCACATAAATGTTAAATGTTACTCCCTCTGAACGTCTTGCAGCACTATCTTAAGCCTATATTTTATTTATAGATTAAGCTCAATATTCTAAACCAGATTCCACATCTCCCATCTGTTCTATAATCTCTCTTCCATCACATCAGAAAAGAAAAAGAAAGACAAAAACCAAATAGACCTAAAAACAGAATCTTAAATTTAACTTGAAAAACCCAAAAGCCAAGTCAATATTTTCATTGACAGATGCTGCCCCTGATGACTCTCTTAAATCGGGGTATTTTTGCAGACTGAGTTACAGTTTTCAAAAGATCACCTTTATCTGACAGATGTTGAACAAATCTGAAGATTTACTAGTAAGGTCTCAATGTTACTCATTCAGTTGAGGAGGGAAGATTGTTACAGAATTTTCCTGATGTTCAGTTTTATTTCTTTGACTAAATGAATCAACAGAATCATTTTAGTCTATTACTTATTTCTTTCCATTCTTAAAGGAAGTCCGGAAAATTAGCAATATTTAATGTCCCAGGATGATTGGGGTGCTGAGGAGGATTTTTATTGCACCCATGCCTTCTTAGTCTGGTAGTTTAAAGACACTTACTGATGGGTCCTTGGAGCTGTGATCTCATTGGCATTAGTTAGTGGTAACTAACTGTGGCTTTCTCAAAATGAATGTACATCTCAAGATTCTGAGAAGAGGATGATTTGGAGTAGTTTAGTGTGAAAAGGGCAAACTCACTTTTTGAATGTATCAGTCTTGTTCAAAAATAATCTGACCTGTTCCGCTGTCAGAGCTCACAGGGCCACTTGACCTGGTGACTGTAATTGTGATTGCTCCTTGTCTCTTCTTTTTCAAGGGGATCATCCAAGATGGAAAAATCATCTTTATGCCAAATGGATACATAACACAGTGTCCAAACCTCAATCGCAGTAAGTAACAATGTACAGCGTTTGTGCTTTTAAAAGAATATATAACTTGTTCATAATATCAGAGAAACACATCTGGAAGGGTGTAGAGAAACTGCAGGGCTGACTTCTGAGGTGGTGAGGATAGCGAAAGTGAAATTATTATATATATTGCATAGTTCTTTTGAATTTTTCAAAAGACTATTTCTTGTTTGCAAAATTAAAATTTGAAGGTAAGAAAAGTATAAATAGTAGATTCTGTATTTGAAAACAAATGCATATTTAATATAATCATACACATACTCACGCATATACATACATAGTTTTTATAGAATTATTTTTTGACCTGGATGCCAATTTACTTTTTCCTCTTCTATGTTATGGTACATTTTCCAGTCACCTTGCAACCCTGTGTTCAGTACCACACACACACACACACACACACACACACACACACACACACAAAAGAATAAGGAAAGAAGGAAAAAATCTAGACCTGAAATCTTCTGTGATTTTACTCAAATTTTAACCAAAACAGCAAAGCAGAAATCCTTCCAAACAACCACTGTTTTAAACTTTTCTTTCTTATGCTAGCAGAAGACAATATAAATTTTATATTTTCTTTATTGAGCTTGCCCAACCTGCAGTGATTTCTTAAGCCTGGTGCAAGGAATAATGGATTTACAGGAGCTTTTGGCCAAGATGACTGCAAAAGTAGGTATCTAAATTTCACTTGTGATGTTTCATTTCTTTCTGTGTCCTATCTGGAATTTAGAGTGATATGTTATAATGGAAATATTTCTAGCCTTGGCATCTGCAATATGTTACCGCAAAACTGTTTTAGTCTTACTTGAAATAGGACCACCTATAGTAAACATAACCATTCAGGTCTTTGATACTATTAGGCTTTATCAAAATGTTTTTCTTGAAAAATGTTTGGAAGCAAGAGGCAATATGTATCACTGTTGGTTCTCTGAGAGTGGAAAAGGAATTTGCCCATTGGCCATTAAACTACTAGCACTGTGAGATGATATATGGTCAGAGCCACTGCTGCTTATAAGCTAATGCATTTTGGATGTAAGAATAATTGCCAGTAATAACGAGGGGCAAAATAGCTATTGTTAGGAACAGATTACTGTCCCAGGAGGGCATTATATCAAATTTCGATTGTATGATTCCTTTCAGGACTGGTCCTGAGTTAAATAGGGAAGAAGGCAAAGTTTGCCTTTTAGCATCTTTKCTTTTATGATTCTGCATCACTGCTGTTTTCACTCAACAGGCATTTTCGAGGACTTGCTACTTGCTGGGCGCTGTGTTAGGTGCCAAGAGGCAATGATGAACAAGACATGTTCATATCGAGTGGCTGAACCAAACTTGTAAACAATTAGGGGCTTAATATTTATTCATAAAGTGTAGATTTATAATGAAAAGCCCTGAGCCTCATAGAGAAAGGCACAGGGRAAAAAAAAAAAGAAAATGTGGTTAATGCTGCTGTTATGATACCAATCAGTTGTGGACACGAGTTCCAGCCTACGGCTAAGAAAAAATTAGGTTGGGCCTAAGAGACATTATACTCTGCAAAAGGAAGAATTTTAATAACAGTGAAAATGATACATTAATCCCATTCCACCTGCAGCTATGACTGCTCCCTGCCTTCAGCCATAGCATGTGGAAAAAAATTTTGGTGGGTAGGTAAGTGACTGGGAGGTAGGGGCATATTTTGGGCCCTTGCATGGTACCATTGAAGATAATGTTTCTATTTCAAACTAGAGTTTTTGGCCAACTGAAATCCCCTTTTGTCTGGAAGGGAGAGATGGAATACTTGTGTAAGACAAAAATTGAGACTGAGGCTCGAAACCTAAGGCATTCGCTTTCCACTTCAGAGTGCAGTGGAAATGTGAAACGCAAGCAATTATTTGCCATCCCAGCTTGTGGCATATAGAGGCTTTTATTTCATATTGTCTGGAGCAGCTTGATCTCAATACCGTTAATTATATTTTAGCATGCTATCAAATTTTTGGAACAAGAAACATGCCACTCAGTCTCAGGTGATTGCGGTTCTCCATTCTCCAGCTCTGAGGATGCCCTTTTCTTTCTCATTCTTTACCATTGCAGGGAATGCCATTTTTCTTTTTAGCTATACATTGTCTAGGAGCCACAATGAACTCTATCCTCAAAACATTATTATGTAAAATGGGCATTTGGGAGACAGAAGATATTTAATTGTGAGAAATTGCAAGCAGAAAATGGTTTAATCCACCTTCTAACCTCCTGCTGCCCCCCAGCACTTTGGCAGGTGTAGAAGTCTGCTTCTTCCAAAGTGTGCATAGAATTATAATTCTACAACCGAGTACTTCCATTTTCACTGCATAATTGGAATCTTGAACAGGAGTTGGCATTTTTTTTTTCTACAGAGGGCCAACTAGTAAATTTAGGACTTTTGTAAGCCAAGACGTAAAATTGAAGATATTGTGTATGTACTTGTTYTTCTTAAACATAATCATTTATAATAATTTAAAATATAACCATTGAAAAATGTAAAAAAAAAAAAAACATTGTTAGCTCACAGGCTGTACAAAAATAAGTGGTCGACCAAATTTATCCCATGGGTCTTTGTCAAGGGTTTACCATCCCTTGATGTATGTGAAGCTGGAAAGTCACTCATGCTGGGTGGTATTTATTGAACATTTACTATTTGCTAGTTCCAATGCTTTAATATATGCACTGTCACTTTAATCCTCACAAAAATCCTGTGAGCTAGATTTGATTTATTAGCCTACYGTACAGATTAGAACAAAGAGGTCCAGAAAGGTGAGGTAGTTTCTCCTAAGATAATGGATGACAGAGTTGGGACCTGTGCTCGGGTACTTAGATCCTGAAGGTTGAATCATGACTGAGAAAGTTTATTTTGCAAAACATAGAATGTGAAAGAGAGATTGAAAATATATAGAGGGACTGAGTRGTGGAGGGAAGGAAACAGATACTACCAGCAAGAAGATGGAGATGTTAGGAAGAAGAAGGAAATAAAAAGAGAGGAAGAGATGAATGCATGTTTGATCACTTACCAAGCTGAGCTAAAATTCTCAGATGTACCTGTTGGAAGTGAATAGAGCTTATAGTAACCTATGGAGAAAGGCTAGGGCAAGAACAAGGACTTTTATCTCACCCTTTGGCTGTGAGCTCTTCTTTTCCTTGGAAATTTGTGGGAATTCTTTGAGTCCTGCATGTTGACATTGTGTATGTTTTGGACAGAATCACTCAGGATCACCCTATGTCATATTATCTCACTGCCCAGGATCCATCTCCAAACCTAGGCTAGGCCAGGTGAATTATCAGGGAAGAATTAAATTTTTTTTTCTTCCTATAGCCAGTGCCAAGTCTGAGTAGGAAGTACTTACTTTGTGCTTTTGTGCAAGGCTTGTTTCCRTTTAGTTCACTGTAAAGCTGAATGTATAGATGATCAGATACCCACCTTTGTATAAAAAACCCACATCTTGGGCATACCCTGATCTCCAGTTCTGCCTCACTACACCCTGTGAGCCACCAAAGGGGAACTCAAGGGCTCCATGTTTCAGGAGAAACCTTCAGGATGTAGGCCACCTTTGGCTTCACATGCCTCCTGGGATCTTTGCTGCTACTTTGTTTTGGCCTTTGTGGCATTCATCTCTTTGTGTCAACCTTGTGATAATTTTCTGAAGTTTTTATTTCTATACTGAATGTGGTATCTTAGTTGGGTCTATCAGTGAAGTCTTGGTAGAAGCAGAAGTGTAATTTGGTCTTTCGGCAAATTGAAGAAGATGGCACCTGGAGATGTGAGGCAAACCAAAAGTTAAATATGGTCCCCAGAAGCAGAGAATTCTTAGGCACCAAGTCCAGCTGGGCTCAGCCTTTGCCTTTGGTTAAATGAACCTATTGTGGTAAGACTTAGTTTATGGGTTTGGAATGAAGCTTGGAGATTTGGTTTGAGCTGTCCAGCAGCCATGATGAAGATGGTCTGTACTCATTAGCTCAGATAGAGAATGGGCTTTGGACTCAGATTGATCTGATTCTGAGTACCCTTTTTGTCACTTTTTTATTGTTTGTAACCATGAGCAACTCATTAAACTTGTTCTACCTGCTGTTCTTCCTTAATTAAATGGTAAAATTATTCCTGGTTTTGTAAATATTTCATGAGAATAGGTGAGTGAGGCTTGGTACAGGACATAGAACAGACTTTTGATAAGTGGTGGCTGTTGTCATTTATGCTGTTAAACCTAGAAAAAAGGGAAAGATGATCCTAAAGAAAATGCATACCTTCCCCATGACTTGATATTACAAAGACCAGCAGAGACTACAAGTTGCTGTCTGGGCCCTGGGCTAGAGCAGGTACAGAGAAGTCTTGAAAGGTCACAGAAAATCTTCACACTATTCATAGTGAAAACCCTGAGCCCTCCCAGAGAGCAAGCCCAGTGCACAATCTGGACAGGGCTTGGTAGCCACAGCCAGAGCAACCAAATAGATACGAATATTCGATCAGCCCAGGGGTCTGCCTAGGATAGCTCACTGTTCCTTTTCTCCTTTCAGAGTTGGGGTACTGGTATATGACTATGTCCTTGCTTGAGCCAGGGAAGATCATAGGAATTGCACTCAATCACATTCAGGTGACAGAGGTAGGGTAGAGAAGAGACCTCTTAAGAAATCCTATGATTTTGGTAAAACTGCATTTTTTTTTTCAAGGCAGAGGAGGTGAAAAAGAGTTCCCTTGTATTGTTGTTCCTTCACACCTTAGTGATTCCCAAGAATCCACCACTCCCCTGGCTTCCTCTGAAATTCTTGCTATTGTGGGAACTACCCACTGGCTAGATCAAGTGTATTGTGATAAGGTCCTGATCACAACACCCCCTCCCCCAGTGTTGTAATCCTACTCTGCTTTGAAGTTCAGGAAGAAGAGGCTAGAGATTGGGAATTTCTTGGTTACTTTTGTTTAAATCTTTGACAAATCTGTGTAGGCTAATCAAGCAGCGCTTGAAGTGGCATTTCAGCTTGTAACATATTTAATTTAGAGATTTCATTGTTACAAGGGGCTCAATAATGATTTTTCAATTAAGCTCAAAGGTTTAACAATGGAAGATTTCTTTTTTCCTCTTCTATATAGTGAACTCCAAATGAATAGCATTTCAAAGAAAAAGCAATCTACGAATGACTAATGTACTCAGATCCATTCATTGACCTCTTACTGTGAAAAAGGCCTCTGCTGTCTATCTTTGAATGGGTAGAGTTAAGAATAAATGATTCAGTCCATGGTTGCTTAGATAAATGCACGGACAGAGGTAAAACAGAATAGAGATGTAGATCTGATACCGTATCTACTCTGGATCTGCAAGCATTCTCAGAGAAAATGGCAGGTAGGGTAGAAATAGCTTTAGAAAATGAATTTGTATAAATTCAACATGATAATACCAATGACAGAAAATGTAATTCATTTTTTGATTTGGAGAGTTGTTTTTCTCCTTTATTGTTGTTATAGGATTTAGCAGGGAAGGCAAGATTACATATTAAATGCCTTTGAAAAATTAGCTTTTTTGACTTAATATCCCTTTGCCTTTGCATCTGTCTGATGCACTCTTATTATTATTATAGAGATTAGTGCTTTCCGATGTTGTCAGAAAAGGCTAAATATATTAAAAATAAAAACAAAGTTCAGAAGGGGGACAGAATCCATTAAATTGAAATTGATGTTTTCCTTAGGAATTGAGTTTTGTAGATGAGCATAGCTCAGTTTTGTTGGACCAGTACTGATAATTGCTGATATTAACCCCAAAGCAAACTCCTAGATTTTCAACAACCTTGGATAGACACATAATTGCATTTTGGACTATTTAGACTTTTGAAAGTGTCCTTCTTAAAGGGATATAGACTCCAGAGTTGTCCCAGGTTTTCAAAGTGAGACAGGCACTTCTACTCTCAGATACCCTATTCTAAGCCACTTTTAAGAGGCATGCTGATCTATTTCAATTCTTCTTTTGTGAAATCCTAGGTCATGTTTCAGTCACTACCTTATGTAGAAACTAGTGGGGTTCATAGAAATGGAATAAAGGTATTATTCCATAATAATAATAATATAATAATGATAAATAATAAATGATAATGATAATAATAAATGATAATGATAAATAAATTTTTCCTTTTTATTATCTCTGACCTATATATGGCTGGCTAACTTAACTCTTAGAAATATATTTTATCTGGATTTCCTAAAGATTTCCCATAGATTCTAATTACCATAGATCCTAGTAACTATATAATTAGGTCAGAGTTTTAAGTGAAATATGAATTTTTGGAAGATCATGTATATTGTAAGGAGTCACAAAAAGTGGATATTTGAAGCAGAGTCAACTCTTAGTTCCTTGGGGGCTGATCATGGTGCAAGTGGCTTGTCTAAGATCCTATTTATTATTTCCTCTGCCCTTTGCTTCCACCCATAAAAGACAATGAGCAAGTTTTCCTGAGAAGTTGCAAAAACTTGGAGGAAGAGAATAAACTAAATAACAAACTAGAAGTTGGAATTACACATGGGTTTCATTTCCAAAGGATAGCATGGTTGAGAGTAATTTATAGGAGCATGTAAGGAATGAAATTATGGTTGACCTAGAAAGATAGCAGGAATAGTTATTCCCCAGACTCAAAACATTAGACCTGAACTATTGGTTCAAAATAGTTTTTTGTTGGATCAAAGATGGAATTGATCTCCTGTATGGGGAGAACACTCAAGACCTGGAGACATAAGTGCAGTTGAGAAGATGAAAAGAAGCTACAAGGTGTATTTATAGGAACTGGTATTGTTTTCTCAGTCATGGCAGTCTTTATGTGAGGGAAAGGACCACAGGGCAATATTGCTTTGGGGYAGAATTCAATACGGATATGACAAAAGACAGTTCTAACCAAAGTGACATATTCAGCTTTTTTTTTTTTTTTTTGCATTGTATGTTCATTTGTTTGTTTTTTTCTGGTGGTAGGAATTGAACCCAAGGCCTTGTGCATGGTAGGTAAGCACTCTACAATTAGCTACCCAGTCAATACCACACAGTATTTTGGAAGGCAAGCTGCATTGGCTGGATGAAAAGTGATCAGGAGGGAGGATTGGAATCGTATCATAAGGAGCTGTTAAGGAAACCTGGTGGTACTGATTGGGGTCTAGAGCAGATGTGAGGCCTGGAGATCCTTCAATATTTGAAAATTAGAGTTGCTCAGAATAGGTTACAGGGCAAAATTGATCTAATAGGAAAAAGGAAGAGAGATGTCACAGCTCTAACCCAGGAAGTTGTTTCAAACTTCCAGAGCTAATGAAAAAAGTGGCTTCCCTCAGGGGAACAGTGCATGCTGCTTCTGGAGACGTTCAAATGGTGGATGGTCACTGTGAGTGTTCTTTAGTGTGCACATCCCCACTTAATAATCCCTTCAAAAYTGGAGATTCGAAGACTCTGTGATTCATGGTAACCATTGGGTGGCCTAGAAAATGGAAAAGGTTATTTTACAAAATCCTGATCTCAACTGGTGGTTTGCTCGTCACCCATGACCTTCATCTGAACACCAAAGCAAATTCATGGGGCACTCTGGGGTGATCACACCCTAGAGAGGAATTAGATCCTTCTATGACCTTTGTTTTCTTAGCCCCAGGTCCCCCAGAATTTTTTTTGTTTTTATATTAGACAGTGACTAACTAGCTTGTAAACTTTGACACTCTGGTTAGTATGTGAAGAACATGGAGAGGACAGAGGGAGATAAATGTTAAGTGCCCTGGAGTTTCTGATTAGATCTCCGGTAAACATTGTAATCAGTCCTTGAGAACACATTTGTTACCCATGTTTCACTGTGTGGGCTGGAGTTGAAAGTACATACCTTTATGAACACCAGAGAGGTTCCTGCAATAGAGTTTAATGTCTCATTTGGTGTTCATTAGACCATACCAGCCAATATGTCTTCAATTTAGAGTGATTTCACCTTGTGTGRAAAAAAAAAAAAGATACAGATTCCCTATGAAACACTGAACTGAATATTCTCTCTCTCCTCCTGCTTGGATTTTTTTTCTTGTTTTCTATTGCTTTATTAGGACAACACAATTAAATTACACTATTATGCCCAGTAATTCTTTTTTTTTTCTCCCGCAGCTAAATTATGCAGAGACAAGACTTAGTCAATTGGAAAACTGTCACTGCGAGAAGACTTGTCAAGTGAGTGGACTGCTCTATCGAGACCAAGACTCTTGGGTTGAYGGTGACCACTGCAGGAACTGTACATGCAAAGTAAGCCTCTTTGTAAATAAATAGCATAAGACAGTTTTGAGGGGACAGGTTCACTAATTATAATGTAATCGTGTTCTTTAATATGTAATGTTAATTCCTTTATACCTACTCCTCCTTAGCAATCTGAGCAATTGTGAAAWGATGCTGGAGCAGTGTCATTTGTAGTGTACATTCGTGGCAACTGAAATGTACTTTCTTTGATACACTGATTTGATATTATCATGAGGACCTTACTGTTTGAAATTTGGGAGTTGGAGTGTAGAAGGAGGAACAGACTCCTTTGATTTTCAAACAAYCTAATGGTTAGCTTTATTTTCAACTTTTCTCTGCCAGAATCACATTTAAAAGGTGGGGTTTAATTAGTCTCTACGTGTTTTTGTTGTATCTTGTAAGCTGTCATCTCTTTCAGAGAATTTGCAAGATATTTTCCCTACTCTCTGCCTTTTAGGGTATTCATTATTTGTATGCTCCTTCATCTGTTTCAGAGAATTATGAGAGCCCCTTCCAAAAATTAGTATGTAAACCCTGTTGAGTTGAAATTACTTGATAAATATCTGAAGAATGCCATTGTTTATCCAGGAAAATACAAAATGGGTTGTTAGAGTCTCAAAAATGATTGACAGGGTCTGCAAAAGGTGTTATTTATGTTCTTGTAAAAATAGCTTTTTGTTTTCTGCCTAATCTACTTAGCCCACATGGGCAGGTGGGATGAAGCCAGTGATGTATATCAGAAAAGTAATTGAGGTGACAGAGGTTCCTTCGGGCTAGAGAAAATGCTTGATTTATGGTCTTGGAGTGGATTGGGAATTCCCACACTACTTCTGTTTCCCTGATGAGTGTTTGGGATGAGATGTGAACTTTCAACACCACAGGAGAGTTTCAAAGGATGCCACTGAGATTTCTTTCCCTGTCCTCTTTTCCTCAGAGTGGCGCTGTGGAATGCCGAAGGATGTCCTGTCCCCCTCTYAATTGCTCTTCTGAATCCCTCCCGGTGCACATCGCTGGCCAGTGTTGTAAGGTCTGCAGACGTAAGTACTAACTGATGGTCACACTGTCCGTCTGTGCTTTGAGATTTATTTTTCCTCTGTTTTCAGGATCCCACTGATTGACATTGATAAAATGAAGCACCGGCAGTTGCTGTAGTACTAAATATATAATAAGAAGAGCCTGATGTTTTAATTACTTGCAGATGCAGCAGACATTATTACATGGATTTTTTTCCTTCAAAAAACACCCCTTATATCACCTGTGATTACTGTTCTCCCATTCCATGTGTAGGTAACTTGTGTTCACAGAAGTTAAATCACTTGTCATCAAACCACTGGGTGGGGATGATCTGTACAGTTACAACTCCAAAATTTCATGTGCTTCTGTCTCCTAATTTTGAATGATCAAGTACCTATTTCTGTGTTTTGGCAAGATTCTCTAGTTATTAAGGGAACTTTGTTAGAATTTTCAGGATGGTATTCAATCAAAATATTGAAACAGTTTCCTTCAGTGTTGGCTGGTTCACATAACATGATTTGAAAACRCTTTTTCATGTGTGTTGCAGAGGGCACTGCTTCACATGAAGCAGTGAAATGAACAGAGGCAGCAGGAGTGAGGGCTGTCACTATGTGCCGTGTACCATGCTGGGTGTCTTAATTCTACCAGTCTACTGCATTCTCATGACAATGTGTTAGGGAGGTATTGCTTTTACCCTATTTTACAGGAAGGTTAGGCTTAGGTAAGTCAATTTGCTAAGGTCACAAGGCTGGTGAGTGGCAGGGTGAGTTATTGAACCAGTTGTGCTGACTGCAAAGCYTGTAGTCTTTTCATCAAACCCTGTGGTCTCCAACAGAAGAGGAGGGTTCTRGTTAGAAGTGTGGCATCCCATGGATAGCTTTCAAGATCATTTAGTTATCAAAGACGCATGCTAACATCAGTCAGCCTTCAAGGCACAGTGGTCACACTGCCAGGAATAGCCTGTGACCTGCTACAATGGTGGAAATGGATAGCTGGTCTGGTCACACCAGCTCAAATATTGTTGAATTCTTTCAAAAGGAACTTTGGAATATTTCTGCTTGTCRTGGTTGGCACAGTACCTGAGTTCTGGAAGGTATCCTTGGAGTTATTCTAGAGGGAGGAGCTTTCTTATTTATGTCCCAAAGACTTTGAGAGGTGTTGTCTGATAATACAGCGAGCTCAGGTGTCCAGATCTTGAATTTATAGTTTGATCCTATAATAGAAAGATAGTTATGAGTAGCTGCGRGTTACCTTTTTCTCATGTTGATTTTGTATATAATTGTCATCAAGGAAAGAAGTTGAAAAAAGATGAGGAATTTGTTAAAAAAATATGAAATTATTTTACCCTGTTATTTTGAGTTCCCCATGCAGATTTGTGAATACTTGGGAGATGTTTGGGTATGGGAGCAACGGATCCTTCAGATGTTTTGTATTTTAGCTTTTAATGTTTTTGCTTTGCTTTTCTTTAAAACCATAAAAGCACYATCTTTATTATATAACATTTGAAAACACAGAGAAGGATAAAGGTAAAGATAGAGAATTTACATAATACTGTCATTTGGAAAAAAATCACTCCTGAAATTTTAGCAGATTGCATTTCAAGAGATTTKTKTGTGTGTGTGTACAGTTGAGGAGGTCATACTGAGCAGACAATTTAGATCCTATTTTGTTGACTTACGATTATCACTTAAGTGTATTTTTGAAAAAGTGTATAAATATCATTTTAGTGAGTTTCATGGTTTCCCACTGTTTGTTGCATAACTCATTTAACTATTCCTCAGTTGTTGGATGTCTAGGTTGATTCCCACTTCTTGCTATTCTAAATTACTTTTTTTCAGTAGTATGTTGCATACAGAAAACATTTTTTTGTACATTTTTGCTTTCTTTAAGATAGAATTCTCCTGGAATAGAATTATTGGGCCAAACACTAACATTTTCAAGGACCTGGATACACATTATTAAATTGACTCCTCACTAAATTTCTGTGGGATAGTCATTTTTCTTYATTCTAATTCTTTGAGAGATTTATGTTTTAAAAATTATCTCAGTAAGTTTCTCAATTTTACCAAGATGTTGGTATACATGCTAACTAAAACATTGATTTTTTTTGTCATTTATGGAATTCATAGCAATTTATTTAGTTGGCACTAATTTTCTCAGCAGCTCTGATTGATAGTTTGACATGTTCAGAGTTTAATAAATTGAGAATACAAATAAATTATTAAGAATACCACTCAAGAAAAAATTAAAAATAARTGATACAGTGTACCTCAGGTAATTAAAAGGTTGAGAACCTCTGGCCTGAAAGGCTTTCATCTCTTACTAGTTTTTAATAGAAATATGCATTAGGCAGTTACTGAGCATGGGTGCCTGGGATAGTGATGGAAGAGCCCTCCCCCTCCCCCATCAGAGAAACTGGCCTTTCATCTAGAGACCTGGGTTTCAGTGTGCAGAATTGTAAGTGTAGTCTAGCAGGCTTGTGTATTGGGGCACTGTTAGAGCAGAGAAGACACTGGTGGAATGCTTCAGGAAGAGGAGCCATAGTGGATATTCACAGCTTTCTAGAAGATGGCTACAGTGGTTGGATAGTTGGGGGCTGGGGGATGAGAGCAGATAGTCAGTGGAATTTCTAGAAGTTTTTATATCTCTTCACACCAGAAAAAATGATGAAGAATATTTACTTTGGTTATGCGTTTCAAAGATAATGAGTACATGAGGCAATGCATGGGTTAACTAGTCATTTTAGCCATTCTGCAATGTATGCATATTTCAAAACATCATACTGTATACTTTAAGTAAATATATATATATATATATAGTTTGTCAATTAAAACTGACAAATGTTAAAGGAAAAAAAGTGTAACTGGTATGAATTACATACAGTTAGATYATGTTTTTTAGACTAGTTTGACAATTTGAATTGTTTTAATTGGTTCATTTAATCCATTCACATTCAATGCTATTATAAATATAGTTGAAGGCATTATTTATTGGATACTTATTTTCCCTTGGTTCAGTTCCTTATTTTGACTKTTTTTTTTCTATTTCTTCTGAGAGTTGCCTCAAGTAAATTTCTTTTATGTGACCAAAAACCTTTTTCTAAGATTCTCTTTGGGTTTAGGTGAGACAGTATTCTAGGAACACCATGAGGAGGTATGTTCTGACTCAGACAAAAAGAGCTAATACATAAAACACATTGTTTCGGGGTAGGGTGACCCACACCTGTGATGACTCTCCCTGACTTGGGAGGCTGAGGCAGGAGGATCACAAATTCAAGGCCAGCCTCAGCAACTTAGCAACTGCAGTCTTAGTGGAGCCCTAAGCAACTTAGCAAGATCCTGTCTCAAATAAAAAATGAAAAGGACTGGGGATGTAGCTCAGTGKTAGAGTGTCCCTGGGTTCAATTCCCAGTGGTGAAACAAGCAAACAGATGTTTTGTCTGCTGGCTTTCTAAATGTTTGTGCACTTGTTGTGGTCACAGGATCACTTACAAAGRAGAGCAGCTGTGTGGAAATATGAAAGAACTTTGTCTAGGTGACCATAGTGGTCCAGAATATGGTGCAGGAATTTCATTCCTTAAAAGCATATTGGGTAACTGCTCTATTCAAGGCAGGCTGAGCATAGCTAGCACACATTACTCTCCCCACTCCATGAAATTCTTAAACTGGAGATTTTCTGCACCCCATCTAGACCCATAAATTGGAATCTCCAGGTAGCAGTTTCCCAAGATCTGTATTCTTTTGGTAGATATATTTGAGAACTACCAGAGATAAGAAGGAGGAGGAAAGGAGGAGAAGAAACCTTTCAGCTATGCAAAACAGAAATTGTAAAGAAACTGAAGTGGTAGAGGGAAAAGGAAGTAGTCTGAAAACAATACATGGTGTTTACAGGTAAGAAGTAGAAATGAAATTGCCAATGTGGTTTGAGGATGATAATGAAGATTATAGTCTACTGAAGTCATTCAGTAATCCTTACTGAGGTCTCTTATCCCAAATGTTGTTCTCAACTTTGGGTACAACAGTGTAGATGATTCAGTCTGTGTTAGGAATGGAACTAGGTCATTTTATGTGCATTCATTCCTTTAATTCTTCCAACAACTCAAGGTAGTAGGATCCAMTATTATTCTCATTTCACAGATGAGGAATTGAAGCATGGAGAGGAAAAGTAATTTGCCCAAGGGATCTAGGTGGAGCCTAGGCAGACTGGCTATAGAATTGATGCTCTTAAACTATCTGCTTTATTCACTTCATGCATCATCTCTATTACTATAAAGAACATTATGTGATGTGAACATGATGTGAGATAGAGATGGCACAGAGAAGGGAGTAATTAACTTCATCAGAAATGTGTGTGTGTGTGTGTGTGTGTGTGTGAGAGAGAGAGAGAGAGAGAGAGAGAGAGAGAGAGAGAGAAAGTTCACGGATAACAGCTTAGCAGAATATTTACAAATGAGTAGGAATTTCTAGGTGCACAAGGTGAGTAATAACATACTTGCTAGAGGAATTGCATGTGCAAAATCATGGAAATAGACACAGCATTGATTTTGGTTGTAAAAGCAAGGTTTTCAYGCAGGGTTGTGGCATACTTAAAGGAGTGTTTTTCAAAAGACCACTGCATCCACGGAGCAGGAGGCAGGGGCATTAGGTATAAGATTTGGGCAATTTCCAGGCAGAGGTGATGAGGYTGACAGTCGGGCACTGCCTAGAGAGATGCAAAGGCAGGAGTGGATGTGAGTGACAGCCAGAGAACCTGGCATGGGATAGATATTCGATAAGCATTGTTTTGCATGAACGTCTGTGAGGGAGAGGTTGCCAGGTTTTGAACAATAGCCTGTGGGAGACTCATAGGACGATTAACAGATATAAGGCAGGTGGAGAAAGTAGATTGGGGAGTGATACATTCTCTTCAGCATGTTTGAGTTGGAGATGCCTGAAGGACAGCCAGTTTGATGTGGGAGCCTTGCTCAGAGAGGTCGTGTTTAAAGCTGGGGCTATGAATTAGCTAACTGAGGAAGGACAAATCCTTGAGTGTTCAGCCCCTCTGATCTGCCACTCTTCTTTAAAGTGTAAAGCAGAATGCCAGTGTTGACATTCTAGGTTCTGAGTGCCAAGGAATGACTGGAGTGTGTGCAGAGTATGAGTACCTTAATAAAGACAGAGCAATCTCATATCTACATGTGACAGGGACATTAAGCCATTCCTGTCAATTGTTTATTCAGTGTGCAACCGAATGGCAAAAGTGTCCAGCCCCCCCCCCCACTCAAAAAATCAAGGTCAATTTTGAAGGACCAGATATCTGGGATGTAAAAAGATACAACTGCCTAACTCTTTCTCTAAATCCCCAATCTGTTTGTTTTTGACATCATGGAGAAGTGTGTGTTGGTGCTGGGTTTCAATTTCATGGTTGGACACTGTGAAATATTCTAGTTTGCATGTCCCTGGTGTGATATGAATGGCTTCAGGTATCCATTTACGTTTCTACTCACACTGAAAGCTGTTGAAATGAAGTCCCAGATGTCCCAGCCAAAGGCACCAGAGCCTGACTCACCTTATGCTTGAATTTCCTCAGACATCAAAAATAAGCCTTTTGGCTATAGATCAAGAGGTTGGATAATGAGGACTGATGTTAGCATATGGAGGGCAGTGGCAGGGAGGGAGGGACACTGTCATAGAATGTAGGAATGACTATGGGGAAAGCAAAGGGAATTCTTGTGACCTCCAGTGGTGATCCTGAAAGTTGTCTGAGATAATTTCATAGGTAGTTGGCATCCTAATCATATACATGTTCTGCACCAGTGCAYAGTTGCAAATGACTGGGGTTTGTAGTAACATGTTGATATCATTTGTGAATCCCTAAATCWCCCTCCTAGGTAAAGGCATAAAGTTCAGTGGACATTTGATTTTATGCTGGACTGGTAAATTTGAGGGATGGATGTGACCCAGTGAGACATTCTTCTCTCCAGATAAGAATTATGGGGTGAATCTGTCCAAGAGGAAAAAGGAATCAAGCAAATGTCTTAAGACAGGGTAGCCATTGTGTTAATACCATCGTGGGAGTTGCAAGGGGCAAAGGAGGAAGAAAAGTCTATTTCTGTACTTCCCAGCATGGGCCAAGAAGCAGATGGCAGATTTGACAGCAGTGCATTTAGCAGAACTGTCACTCTGGAGTGAGCCACCTTGCCAAGTTGGCAGCAGCTGTGTTTGGGAGTATGGGAATTTATTAGATAGGAATTCCAGGTCTTTGGAGATGTGGTGTCTCTATGCAAGCAAATTAGGGAATCCAGATCATCATTAGGATCAATGGCTTATCTAGAAAACGGAGGCATAAAAGATAATCAGGGATGGGTTTCCTTTTTTAAYGAAAGGAGTAAAAGGCTCAATTTAGGGAATTGTATTGATTCTCCATTCTTGTTGTTTTTGTTCTAAAACCTCAGTATCTACTTTTAATGTTGGAAATTGTATTAAATTGCAGAGTTAACTCTTAGCTGGGAATTTGACTGTTTTTTTTGTTTGTTTTGTGACTAAGTAGAACTCATTAATTTTAGAACTATTAATCATTACTAACAATAAGGCCAGAGATCCACTGGGCTTGATGCTGCAGATAAAGTTATGAATCGTTCCTATCCTCATGGAGGTTACAGTTATCAGGGAAGATGAATAATGAAATGGGAAATTAAGATGTAATGTGATGGGTGCTCTGCAGGATTAGGTCCAAAGTGCAATGGAAACACAAAYTGAGGGCAATTAGCCAGCGTTAAAGTTGAAGAACAACATCTTCAGGAAATCATGCCCGCACTGAAACTGATGGGTATATGGGTCAGGAGGTGCCAGGGGAAGATGGACAAGGCTGAATGTCCCTCTAGCAGAGAAAACTATATGCAAATTTTGGAAGGAAGAAGAAATTTTGGCCAGAGCATATGTGGAGGTACGAATGTTTGGGAGGGTGAGTGAAAGCACATACTTGGTGAGTTATAAAGTTTGGGAGATAAGAGCAACATACATGGCCTTGTGTGCTAATTAAGGAATTTGTTCTTTATTATGAAAGTGTCAGGGCACATCAAAAATATGCCTGCTTGTTGTATAGAGAAGCCTGAGATCAGAACATAGGAGAGTTAGGAGGTTTAGGAAATACTAAAGAAGAGGGACGATCATGGCCTCAATGAAGACAGTGTCAGGGGCAGAGTGTGGAATGGAGCAAAGTAATTTGACTTGAGAAACTTAAGGAGGGAACATTGCTAGGATTTGGGTGCTGCATGGACACAACGTTGAGTGAGAGGCAGAAGTTGGAAGGACCCCAGGTGCCAGGGTGTGGGTGCCAAGGAGAATGCTGGTTCCATTCACTGAGAGGGGCTACTAGAGCAGAACAGGTTGGGTGGGGCATGGGGTTGCTGCYGGTCAGGTTCTGAGAGGGAAACCAACTCTGAAGCAGAGATTTCCATATGCTTCATTAGGAARTGCTTCCAGGATAAATCCTGGGGTAGGAATGAGGTAGTGAAAGAAACAGAATTGGGCAGGAGGAGAAGTTGAATTCAATGCAGTTACAAACACCTCAGTTATTCCTGTAGGGGGTCTTCAGAACTGTAATTGCCTTTAAGAGTTGTCCTGAGGTGGAGTAAGGGAACTAGAACTTTGTACCACTTTCATCTACCACTTATTGGATATAGGCTATCCAAGGAAGGGGAATTGACCTTGGGCAAGGTGACTCTCTATAACCTAGGATAAGTTCTAAGTAGTCAGCTGGGAGCTGCTAGCTGCCAACTGTTCCAACAACCATTGGGATATATCTTTTGGTCATGGAAGGGCTTGGGGTAGCACACCACAGTATCTACTACAGAGCTATGATGTTAAGTAAACTAGTGTCTCTGGGCTTTTCTCTTCCTATGTTAAAAGAAGGGGATGGATCAGCTAATTATAGAGGATCTACATACTTAAACATTCCACGAGAATCAGAAGACAGTTAAAGTAGGAAATTACCACGTGTAATCAACCTGTTTTTAACAGGTATAGAAATGGAGACCCTTTAAGATGAGGTGGTTTTATAAGATTGACAGTGAGTTTGTGGGAGAGATATTTTTTTACTGCTTGTGCATGTCTTTACTTCTGCTTCTCCTGAGAGTTAGGGCCAGAGAGGCACTCATCAGGGCAGGAGAGGGAGCAATCAGGCCTTTGCTTCCTGGTTCCTGTTGAAGTGGCTAGAGACTGGTGGACTCACATTAGGGTCATATCAAATTGATGTGTTTTGCACTTGCTTAAAGTGAGTCAGCAAGTTAAGGACCGAGTCCCAGTGGAATCTAAATTGAAGTTCCATTTATGCTCCTCTTTGAAATTTTCTACAGGCCTACTTTTACCCGCTGCCCTCCTTGTTAGCCTGTTAGGCTCACCTTTCTACAGAAGTCTCTCTAGCACATTGACAAAGCAATTTACTAGTTTGGCTTAGATTTCTCAGTTGTCTCTGAGTGTCTTAAAAACACAGAGGCTAAGAGCACTTACCTGCCATAATGACAAGGAAAAATAAATGGCATCCTTCTCCATTGTGGCTACCGTTTTCGGATGAATGGGACATAGATGAACCCCCTTTCATTTTATAGCTGGAGTGACAGTCAAAATTACTACTAATTGTACTCTGTTGATGGCAACCAATTCTTCCTTGTTCTAACCCCTTAATACATTAATTAATTTCTTTATTCCTTTGGCAGCTGCAATAAAATAATCATATGTCCTTGGTGTGAAGGCAAGATGAACGTGATCAAGATAGCCCTGACTGGGGAATTCAAAGGTTATCCCCCACCCTATTCCCACGTCTGGCTTTAGACAAGGAGATCTGCATTGCTTAGAATCGGGGAATCTATGTTTCTGTGGAATCTATGAGTTGGAAGACACCTCTGACGTTTTGTTGCACAGCATGAATAACTGACCCATTTTTCTGTTTTATTACAGCAAAATGTATCTATGGAGGAAGAGTTCTTGCAGAAGGCCAGCGGATTTTAACCAAGAGCTGCAGGGAATGCCGAGTAAGTTTTAATCTTATGTTCCTGTCACTTTTGGAGAGTGAAGAGATAGGTGTGTGGGCTTTCGATGAGGTTCTTGAGCATGCTTATTGGCCTGGATGGGTTCMTGATGGACAAAGCCCTCTGCAGTGGGCTGGAGTCAAGGATGGGGGTGCCCAGTCACTACTAGTATGTGATTAGCTTACAGTCAGCTGTGGATCAGGTACCAGGGAGGAAGCCTTAGGAAAGATGTGAGAGTGGAGAGTTAGCAGCTTCTATGAGACAGTGAAGTTGGGCAACCCTGGGGGAGGGTTTCCAGTTGGTGTTAGAGGAAATGGTCTATGATGCTAGCTGTAACAGTGCAAGCTCTACTCCCAGTGGCTAATGATGGCTAGAAGATGCCTTGTCTTCTGTACACCTGCTCCTATGAAATAAGATGTATAGAACCATAGACTTCATTCAGTAATTGTCCAACAAATGTGCATTAAATAAATTCTGTATTCCAGTATTATCCTGGGTTTTGGGGGAATACAGCAGTGAATGAAAACGTTCTATCATTCTACTATTTGCAGTCTAATGAGCTAGATAGTAAGAGAATAAACAAATATACCATATAAGGACAAATTCTATTCTAAAATCATGAAGTAGGCTGAAAGGATAGAGGTCTGGGGTAGGGATGAGTGGTCTGGGAAGGCCTCTTTGAGGTTGTCATTTTAGAATCAAGCCCTGGATAAGGCATGGGAGTCAGCCATAGAGTTATGTGAGTGAGAAGAATTCCAGGGAAAGGGAAARCAAGTACAAACAGCTTGAGATGGGAGCTTACTTGACACTTTCAGGGATGAACAAGGRTACCAGAGGAGCTGAAATAGACTGAGTAAGGAGAGGGCAGTAAGAAATGAAACCATGTGGGTAGCTGGGGCTAGATCATTTGGGGCTTGTGAAATAGAATATTAAAGGTCCTGTGGTTTGACATTTTTGCTTATTCACAAATCTTTCTCCATTGTGATGATTCAATTCACTTTGTTCATTCACTTATCCCTTCATTTATTTAATGAATATTTATTGAGCCTATACCTTTTGTCAAGTGTTATTGCAAGAGATGGAGATATAGTGGTGAACAAATTTTTTTTTCTTTTTTTAGTATTTCATGAAATATTTTTAGAACACTTGCTGTGATCCAGGCAGAGAGCAAGAATTGGGATTAAATGGGAGGCTTTATAGTTCTCTGAAGATCTTGGCATAAATGAGGGAGAGAGAAGTAAACCAAGTTATAGTATGGGATATTTAGTCTTACGCTGTTGGGCAGTTTAGCATTGATTAGAAGCCCTTGAATCAACATCAAAGGGTCAAACAGGGCTTCTGATAAGTGGTAACTGGTCTTTATGGGTAATTGTTTCCTAAGTGGATGAAGGTAAAGGCGCATTCCGGGAAAAAGGAATAGCATTTACAAATGCCAAGAGTTGGGTATTATTTAGGGAAATACAAAAAATTTGACTTGGTGAAGTCAAATGTGGGAGAGGGAAGAGAGACGAAGCTACAGAGACAGAGCAGAGAATACCAGTTTTGAACTTGATCCTCAGGTGAAGGTCCATTGAAGGGGTGCATGCAGGTGTGCCATGACAGCTTTGCATTTTCAAGGCTCATTTTGATTGTGTGGAGGGGATCGTGGGGAGCACTGGGTGAATTTGAACAACTGTAGAAATGCTAAGGCCCCGACCTAAGGCAGTGGCCAGAGGTGATAGAAAAGATGAGATTTGAGCTGTTCAGAAATAGAATTAAAAAGACTCCATGAATAGTTAGATTTGTGGCAGTGGGAGGAGGAACCAAGTAGATGTCGAGATTCCTGTYGTGGCCAAAGGGAATAACATTTACTGTTTTTGGTTGCAACTGGCAGAAACCCTCTCTGAATAATATAGGTAAAATTATGATTTTATTGGAAGGAAATGAGACTACTCACATAATCCTTAAAAAGCCAGAAGACCAGATTTGGGACTAAGCAGAGACTAGGTAGTCCCAGAACTTTAGAAGCAGAGTCCATAGCCATGGTCAAGGAAGGAGCAGTCTGTCAGGCATATCTCTGCTGTGATGAGTCACTTTCAATCATTTCTACTGTCCTTAAGTCATTTATAGAAGATTTAAAGGGTTGGGAGTGGGCATATGATTAATAAAGCTAAAAAAAAATGGGACTATTTTGAAGCTGAGAACAAGTGGAGAAAAAATGGAACTAGTTCTAGACATGTAGAGCTTGATGGTATTTTGGCTTTCAATTGCTATATAACCAACTCCCTAAAACTTGGTGGCTAAGAGCAGTATTTGATTATCTCTCAGGGTTGTATGGGTTGAACAGGCTGAGCTGGATGATTCTCACTTGGGGATCTCACATGTTACTGGAGCTAAAGTCCTGTAAGGCTTGACATGGCTGCATGTCCAAGATGGTTTCTTTATTTATATGGCTAATACATCAACTAAGATGAATGGAACAGAAATTTCTCTCTGTGTCTCTGTCTCTATGTCTGACTATTGTCTCTCTCTTTCTCTTTGAGGCCTCTAGAAGTGGTTCCTTGGGCTTCTTTACAACATAGTGGTCTCAAGGTTTTCTTACTTGGTGGCTTAGGGCTTCCCCCAGTACAAAACATTCAAAAATCTGATGTAGAAATTCCAATGTTTCTTATAACCTAAGCTTGAGAACTATGCACTGTCACCTCCTCTATATTCTTTTGCTGATATAGGGTGAGCCCAGATTCATCACAAAGGATGATACAAAAGCATGAATACTAGGAGGCATCATTAGGAGACAGGCATCACTGGACACTAGCTATCAAAATAAGACTTTGTCATACAGTTTTTCTATTTGAAAATACCCCTGTTACCAACCCAATAGGTAACCATTGCATGGCTAGAGAACATTAAGTGATCAGCAAATTCCTTTAAATGAGTGAAAATCTACGTTTCAGTTACTTCTACCCAGTGAAGTTGCTTTTGCCCTCCAGAGAATAAGAGTGAATCTGTTTACTTTTGCAAGTAACACTGTGGTTGAAAAGTCAAAATCTGCACTCAAATGAACCTGGATTTAAATTCTGGAATTTGACCTGGTTATTAGTGAAGTTCAGAGTTTCTTGCATTCTTTTCTACCAAGGGGTTCCAGTAAGAACTGGGTTGGTAGGACATGCTTAATTTAGGTAAAAGAAGGTTCTTATATCCTCCTGCATGTTTTCCCTCTCCTGATCCCTCATACCCACTACAACTTAAGACAATTTTATAGGCAGAACCACCCACCCTAGGGGATTGTGAATGATGTCATCTTCAATAAGGGAATGTTTGCCCTATTGCCTTTTGACCAGATATCCCTTTCTTGTCCAACGTTAGCCTGGAAAAATTGGACAGAATAGAAACACTGCCTACATGTCTAGTCTAGGTTGTTGGATAGTAGAATCTGAAGCATGGACTTTTGTGTTGATGCTTTATTTATTTAATCTTTGGTGGTGATGGGGAAGGAGAGGTACAGTTYTAGAAACGAAAGAGAGGGACAGACCCAAGGAGGTAATAAAGGAAAGGCAGGGGAGCAAACATAAGAGCATGCATTACAGAGAAGCCACAGCCCTGAGACAAAGCACAGTGGGTTTTGTGAGGCATCTCCAGAGAGGCTGACAGAACCACTGTGTCTCAGAATAGACCCTCTTTGCAAGTGCTTTTAACTACTTTATTTCATTTTCTTCTCATCAGATCCCTAGAGAAAAGGAAGGAATGTATTTTGAAGATTGAAGAGAATGAGGCATATAGAGACTGAACAGAAGTTTTCTAACAAAAGAGCTTAAATCTTGCTCTTTATAGGAGTTTGAAGAGAAAGGGCCCTTTTGCCATATCCTGTCTCTCACTGGCCAGAATCTACCTTAGGGGTTAMTCCCTTTGAATGTCCCTATTGGATTTCTCATTCCCCTCTTTTAGCTGCCAGTAGGAATGCCAGAGACTCCATGGGTGCAGGAAGTTTGGTGGATACCTAGGTGTGGTGGTCTCTCCGTGTCCATAAGTGCTGGTTATAGGGGCTCCTTAACCTGTGGCAGAAGCAGGAATGGTGTGACCRTGAGGGCTTTGTGATCTCTCCATCAACAAGAAAATTCCCAGTCCTTGGAGTGTGGTGGGATAGGAGGGGGTGATTATTTACCTAGGACTAGCACAAGCCCATTACCACATTGGGACGTTGTTTGGATTAAAGAAGACAAAGTATGTGAATAATTTAATGCAATGCTTGGCACAAAGTAAGTCCTCAATAAATGAGAGCTATTTTTATTATTTTACATGACTATGTGTGTCCTACTTGAATATAAGACAGATGTCCTGTGCTCTGTAAATTGTTTCACTTCTAGGGGAAGGAAATGGATTTAGATTCTAAAACCCTTGCTTTTCTCTTTTACCTAGGGAAAGCTCAAATGATGAAAGATAGTTTCCCCYTCTGCTAATGATGCCAGCACCAGCCATGGATCCATCATTTATAACTAGAAGCCCCTTTTACATATTGGGTGGAGGCAGTGAGTCACTCTAGCTAGGGTCACTATTATGACTTGATCTCTGTTATCATCAGAGAGGATTAAGGCAGACATATTTGGGACCTGGGAAAGATACATTGATCTAAATGAATTTAAATGCCAACTCATCTGCGCAGTACTTACCACTGTTACTGGCACATGGTGGATGCCATATATACTTCATTTCATCTTTAGTATGTTCGGTGTTTTTTTTGTTTTTTTTTTTTTTACAATTTAGAAAGAAGTTGAGCAGACAGGCTATTCTCTTTGCACAACTGGTGTGTGCATGCATGCGTGCATGTGTGTGAATTCACATGAATAATTTTATCCTCTTTAAAAAAAGGCATCATGTTTTTTATTCATTGCCTTTCAGCAGTTATTTAYGAAATGGTTACTTTGTGCAGAGAGGAGGGCATTTGACAGTATTATTTAACATTTTCTTGAGCACTTACTATTTTCTTTTTAATTGATTTTATTTTTTTTAAAATACATGACAGCAGA